TTTTACGGCAGTTGAACACAGTTTTAAGGTGATTATTAACAGAGCCACTTACAATTCCAGATTTTGTTAACTGATTTTAAATTTGATCAGCTGCGAAGGTGGGATTTAAACAGATGTTCCCAAGGGATTATAGCCTAGGCTGCTGGATTATTAGTCAATGCCACACCAGTACCATTCCCTGATGCATAACAGTTGTGCATAATCTACTGCAGCTCAAAAGTTTTAATTTTTTTAAAATGGTGGAAATCTTGATCTTACTACACCAATGTCAATACAATGTACCGTCTGCAAGTTGTTAAAGTTACAAATATTTACTTGCAGAACACGACACATTTCTGTTTTGGTCAAGAGACGCTACGGGAGGCAGTCCAGTGAAGATTCACTCGGCTGATACCAGGACTGCCTTATGGGGAGAGGCTGAGTAGATTGCATCTGTGATCATTGGAATACAGAAGAATGAGAGGCAATCTTATTGAAACATAATAAGATTCTTGGGGGATCTTGACAGGGTAGATGCAGAAAAGTTGTTTCCCCTTGTGGGAGAATCTGGGACCAGATGGTATAATCTCAGAATAAGGGGTTGCATGTCCAAGGCAAAGGCAGAGATGATGAGGAATTTCTTCTCTCAGAGGGTACTTAATCTGTGGAATTTATTACCACAGAGGGCTGTTGAAGCTGGATATTAAGTATATTTAAGGCTGAGGTATTAAGGGAGTCAAACAAAACCGACAACAGACAGAGAACTCAAAGAATATAAAGACAGCAGGAAAGAACAAAGAGCTAGGAAAGCTAAAAAGGGGCCATGAAATGTCCTTGGCAAACAGGATTAAGGAAAATCCCAATGTTTTATATGTATATAACGTGCAGGAATTTAGCTAGGGAAAGGGGGAAGTCCACTCAAGGACAAGGGAGAAGGACATGTAGACAGGGGTATGTTAATATTCTAAGGCATGTCAAGGAGGTGGTGTTGGGGATTTTGAAAAGCATTAAAGTCAACAAATCCCCAGGACTTGATGAGATCTATCCCAGAATACTGAGGGAGGGAGAGAGAAAATTGCTGGGGCCTTAAGTGAAATATTTGTACTTTTAGGCACAGGATAGATCCCAGAAGACTGGAGAAAAGCCAAAGTTTTCTCTTTAAGAAGGTCAACTGGGATAATGCAGGAAATTACAGGCTGGTGAGCCTCACATCTTTGATTGGCAAATTATTGGAGGACAAGATTCTTGGGGACATGATTTGCTCACATTTGGAAAAACATGGATTTATTAGTGATGGGCAGCATGGTTTTGTGCAGAGTAGGTCATATCGCAACTTTGGTTGAGATTTTTGAGGAAGTGACAAAGATGACTGATGAGGGCAGGCAGTTGATATTGTCTGCATAGAACTTAGAATGGCTTTTGACAAGGTGAAGTCATATGGGACCTGCAGTGAGTTATATGAAGATGGATACAGAACTGGCTTGGTCATAGAAGACAGAGTAGCAGTGTAGGGGTGCTTTTCTGACTGGAGATCTGTGACCAATGGTGCTCTGTAGGGATCAGTGCTGGGACCCCTATTGTTTGTAATATTGATTTGGAGGAGAACATCGGTGTCCTAATTAGTAAATTTGTAGATTACAAAGAGTAGGGACCTGTGGAGAGTGAGGAGGATTGCCAGAATATCAATAGGTTGGAAATTTGGGCAGATAAATGGAAAGTGAAGCATTTTGGAAGATCTAATGCAGGAGAGAAGTATACAGTAAATGGCAGAACCCTTAGAAGCATTAGCATATGTAGGGATCTAGACATACAGGTCACAGCTTCCTAAAGGCGGCAACACAAACGGATAAAGTGGTCAAGAATGCAAAGTTGCCTTCATTGGTTGAGGCACAGAATATAAAAATTAAAGCATAGAGTATAAAAATATTTGAGATGTGGAGATTTTGGAGAGGGTACAGAAAAGGTTTACCAGGATATTGCCTGGTTTGGAGGGTATTAGCTATGAGGAGAGATTGGACAAATTTGGTTTGTTCTCACTTGAATAGAGGTTGAGGGGGCAACCCGAAAGTAGTATATAAAATTATGACAGGCATAGAGTGAATTGATATTTGGTGTCTTTTTCCCGGAGTAGAAATGTCAATTACTGGAGGACACAGATTTAACGTAAAAGGTGGAAAGTTTAAAGGATACGAGAGAGGCAAGTTTTTGTTTTGAAACAGAGGGTGGCAAGTGCCTGGAATGTGCTGCTGGAAGAGGTGGCTGAAGCAGATACAAAAGCAATGTTCAAAAGGCACCTCACAGGTACGTGAATAAGTAGGGAATAGAGGGATACCACTGCATAGGGGTAAAAGGTTTCTAGTTTAGAAAAGCGTCAGGTGTTCGGGCAGCTTCGTAGGCTGAAGGGCCTGTTCCTGTGCTGTGCTGTGCTGTTCTTTGCTCAAAGTTCAAAGGGCAAAAGCAAAATGGAATTATGGATTATCAAATCAGCCATAATCTCAGTGAATGGTGGAGCAGACTCGATGGGCTGAAAGAATTCAGAAGTAAGCCTATCTCCTCTGGTCTTCTTGTTGAAGACATTGAAGATGCATTTAGATGAGCACTTGAAATTCCATAGCATACAAAGCTATTTTAGAATAGCTAGTTGCTTGATGACTGGTGCAGAAATGATAGGCTGAAGGGCCTTTTAATATGCAGTGAAAACTAATACTGAAGAGGACAAAAATGATCCACCAGTTGACAGTAGTAAAGGTATTCACATTTAATGTAAAAAAAAATTTGCAAGTTGCTATGTGTGGCGAAACTTCAAGATTACTTTTAATCTCACCTGGTACCATTTTTTTTCATTATTCATTCGTAGGATGTGGACGTCACTGGCTAAACCAGCATTTATTGCCCATCCCCAATTGCCTAGAGGGCAGTTAAGAGTCAACCACATTGCTGTGGATCTGGAGTCACATGTAGGCCAGACCTGGTAAGGATGGCAGTTTCCTTCCCTGAAGGACATTGGTGAAGCAGATGGATTTTTGCAACAATCGACAATGGATTCATGGTCATCATTAGATTCTTAATTCCAGATATTTATTGAATTCAAATTCCACCATCTGCCGTGGCAGGATTTGAACCTGGGTCCCCAGAACATTGTCTGGGTCTCTGGATTAACTGTCCAGTGGTAAAATCACTAGGCCATCACCTCCAACATGACATCTGAAGTCTCCTGTAAGGCTCTCTTTGACATCCTCCCATTTCTCATCCATATTTTGCCTCTTGAATATGTTACTTCAAAGCAAACATCAGATTCGACATGTATGTTAATGGCACCCAGTTCCATCTCACCATCATTTCTCTTAGTCCACCCAGTTCCATCTCACCATCATTTCTCTTAGTCCACCCATTGATTGTCGTGTTGACCAACTTCTTGTCCCAGATCCATTCTGACTTTCTCCAAATAAACATCGTCAAGATCCAAAATATTTCTTTGGCCCTTCCATAATTCCATGCACTCACCACTGATTTTGTGCCCTTTTTTAACACCCGTGCCAACCTGAAATGAACATGGCAAACTCAGAATCCTGGCTGATCCTGAGCTGAGTTGCAGACCTCATTCTCTCTATCTTCAACACCATTTACTTTTACCCTGTACAACTGTATGTCTCTGCCTGTTTCAGCTTTGAAATCCTAATACAAGTTTTTGTAACACCCATTCTCAACTACTCTCTCAGTCCATAAACCTAAGCTCATTCTAAACGCTGCTGCCTGGATTCATAACTCACATCAACTCCCTTTTATATATCACCTATGTGGCCTCTGACCTTCATCCCAAATTTCTCCACCTCTCCTTACTGAAGATGTTCCTTTAAAAAAAAACTCTTTGCTTGGGCTTTCAGCTTATTTGGTATCTGTCAACCTTTGTTTAATAATGCTCCTGTAAAGCACCTATTAATACTTGACAACATTAAAAAGTATTTCAACTTGCTGTTATTATCAATGATATTTTATATCTTACTCTCTCAAATAAATCTAAAATACAGTGCTCCATGAATTATTAGAACACATTTGAAATCATAAATAAAAAGAATTAAACACGCAGGGATAATGTGGTAAAAGCAGTGCCCAAAGGGTTCAACATGCGATGTACCTGGGTAAATAACACAACTGCCCCCTTTTTGCATTTTAAATGTCTAAAAGATTTTAATGGTTAAACTTCACTAAGCTTCGCACATTTGAACAAGGATTGTGCAGATACTAGCATCTTCTGATATAATGCATAGTCACAGATACAGAGGTACAACAAATTATAAGAAAAAGGCACATGCACAATTATACATTGACCCTCCAAATGGGCCAATAGCCTCCTAGTAAATTACATGCTCGTTTCCAAATCCATTCAATGTCCTTTGTTTACCTACTTTCCAGTTGAATCTTGAATATCGACGTAATTCCTGTCTCAACCTGTCATAGGCAGTAAAATCTATAGCCCCGAAAATAATTCTCTCTTGGTCTGTGTTCTAAATCTTTTTAGCCTAACCTTGTGCTGTGTCTAACAATTTTTTACGCCCGAATTAAAAAGGATACCTCATTCTAAACAGCTAACATTGTTAAACTCCATCTGAGAAAGCAACATAAATGTGGTAAATGTTTTTGTCAAATGTCACTGCCCAACTATTTAGTATAGCAGCCATGTGTTTTATTAATTACACAAAAGGTTGTACACCAAAACTAAAATGCATATTTTGTAAAACTAAATTTGGGGCTGTACGTTTGTCAGTTAACCCCAAGCAGACGTACAAGTGAGTTGTATTGAAACATTTGAAGGTGAGCCCGAGAAACATGTTAAGAGTACTCAAAATCTGTTCATTGAAAACAGACTCCAAACAAATCATTTTCAAATGTCATTAGGGGCAAAAATTATTTTACAAATATATATTGCATGTTAACATGCAACTACTTCATACTCATAACAAAACTGAAACAGCTGACCTAAACTCTCGGAGTCAGTCATCGATATGCTTAACAGCTCTTACCTGAGAGTCAATTCTGTTATCCATACAATTTTCATTCTTTTCTCCTGCTTTTGGCTCATGGCTTTCTGATTTTACCAGACTTTCTGATAATGATGACTGTTTAAGGGACTTTTCTTTCGCCCTCATTGCTTCAGCTTCTTCTTTTATAACACTAGTATCAGACATCCTCATTAGACAAGTTTACTCTGCATTCTACTGAAAACGTGGAACCTGCAAGGTACACAACACCAGCTTCAAGTTACAGAACAAATTTTCCTCCTAGGTTAAATTTTTTTATTCTACAAACCTCAAATATGGACAGTCATGATACTGCAAAATTACTGTTAAGTATTGCATTCAAAATTTAATTCAGCAACCTCAATACAATTATTTGAGAAAACATCAAAAATATAAATAAAAGGAATGTTGTAGAAATTGGATTTTCAAAACATATTTAATAACATATCAAACCAATAGAGGAACACTGATACAAATGAATGACGACTGTAGTGAAGAGACATTGGCAGGACAAGAGTTTGATACAAGATAGCAATCAACAATTCTGTTGCCTATCTTTACAAATCAGTACAATGCGCACTATTGCTCTTCACAATCACGGGAATATACTTGGGTAGAGAGAGCATAACAATAAATTTGTTGACTATAAAAGAGTACATAGTAATATCAAACATGAAGTCAACTGTAATAGAATTCAGAAAGATAGATGGGTTACTAAATTGAACAGTGTGATGTCAGATGGAATTTAATGCCGAGAAATAGGACATGTAGTATTTTGGGAAGATGAACAATGAGAAGACATTCACCAAAGGGCAAAATTTTAAAAGCCGTGAAACAACAGTGAGACACAGGGACTCAAAAAACAATTGTGAAAGTGAATGAAGCTTAAAAAAATAAAGTTGGGTACATAGGATTTAATAAACAAGGAACATTAAGACAAAAACAAAGATAATGTAAAGCTGCGCAAACTCTCAGTAACTTCAGATTTACTAACGCATCCAACTCTGGATACAATTAATGAAAAAGCTGGACAGCATCAGAAATAATTTACTAAGATGAAGTCAAGGATGAGAGGTTTTAATACTGAGGGGACTACAGAAAGCTAACTTGTTACTTAAACAAGACTTGTGGTATGGAAATCATGTTGCAAATTATAAGGTCAACAGCAAATGATAACTTGAATTTTAACATCTGATCAAATTGATTAGTCCAAAAAATCAGGATAATCCCAGGTTGGGATACAGTAGCTCATCGCAACCATGGTTGCAGAGGCGCATTGCAACTGGTGGTAGCACCTCAGCAGCCCAAGTAATTAAAAGTACTATGAAGATATGGTCAGGCTGAGTTCATTTTTCCATAGTAACGTAGCTTGCAAGACCTTGAATAGGCTGTGAAGCTCAAGTCCAGTATAATTATTGGCACCTTCCCAACTTGCAAAGACTGGAGGTTAGGACAGAGGATTGTATAAAAAGAACATAAATCTAGAAAGTGAATTATTCCAATGAAGTAATATTTAACATTAGGATCTTTTATATTTTTTTTGATAGTTATGTTCACATGGATAAACATTCCTGCAAAGTGCGTTTTAGGTTACCCAGTTGTTATAATTAACTTGAATTTTCTTAAGCTATTTGATTGAAGTTCCATATGTAAGCCTACTTAAAGAGAGGATCCTGGAATTTTTACTATGAGACCTTGGGTGAATTCATGACCCAATCTGGGAGCTTTTGATCAAAGTCTTGGATGTTTCCAACATTACCCTATGGTTTTTAAAAGAAAAATAGCTAAATAGGAAGTAATTTTTAATATACAAGTGGCATGAGAGAAAAAGAGCTTGCAACTCAGGATTTATTACTCTCTCTGAACTTGCTTCCACAGACAACCTTTCTGAATATGCACTTATTGAACACAGGGAGTGATAACAGGGTAAGAAGTGTGGCAGGACAACGATCCAGTATTCTCATGCAAGAGGTGAATATTAAATGACACAGCTACTAACAAAGCAGCTGTCAGTTAACTCAATTTCCTATAACTGTCACCTTTAATACCAATTGTGATGTGGAGAAATTCAATTGTACAAGCAATAACACAACAAAGGTTACAACCAGAGGCCAGCTGGAAGAAGTAACATGCTCACATCCAGCAATTGTGTCAGCAGTTTCTGCACCGTCCCTGCAGATCCTTACTGTAACACAAGACTTAGCCTTACAAAACTCAGAACAGGGGAACCAAAAAGGGGAAAGGCTGTTTGATCATGTGTTCATCCTGACAATCCACAACTAATCTTAAAATCTTAATCTTTGTTTTTAGGCATACACAGATAATCTCTTCTCTTTCTGAAAAAGGAGTAATGTTGTTTCTCTTTCTCTGTACAGAAGTAGTCAATTGCAAAAATTATATACTGGCTACTAAGTGTTGTCAGGTGTCCTGTGAATGCAAAAGTTGCTGATGTCATTAATCCTCCTCAGACAGATACCACAAAAAACAATTCGCATAATGGCAGCAGCTCATTTACCATAAACTGATAGCATTCCATTAATAATTTACCATTTTAACCACTGCCAACTGAACTATTTGTGTTATACACATTTATTGTTATCACTTATTCCTATATGGTTGACAGTATTTTTTTCTTGGATGACTGATCAGATGCCGTCAATTTCCTCTATTTGCTGCTACTATCACTGAGAAGAAGAGTATTTTTTTTTGTTGGTGGTTTTCTACTTACAACAGTTTTGGATAAGTTAAGAGAAAGAAGTAATCTGCTCAGCCCATAAAGCAAGTGGACAATACACCACAAAATCCTTCAGAAAAAGCCAAACACTCGTATGTGTAAACCGAAAGGATTTTTTAAAAAAATGACCATGTCTGAAGAATCCAGACGATTTTTAAGCATCTGGATTGAGGGTGCCAAATGATGTCAACGATATGACCTTCCAAAAGGCATTTGATAAGGTTTCAACAAAGAGAGGAGAAATGAAGGAGCACTGACTTAAGGCAAGAAACAAAGACTGGGGATAAAGGGAATATTTTGTCAGGGGGACTTTACAAGTGGCATTCTCCAAGGTATCTGCACTTGATTTCAGTTCTTTACCATCTATATGAATGAGCCAAAGGGAAAATTAACTGGATACCAAAGTTTGCAGGTGATTAGAAAGCATGTTAAATAATATTAATGGAAACAGAAAGTTACAAAGTGACATACTTAGACTGAGTGAGTAAATGGATTAAAATTATGGGATATGTCAATGTGGAGAAAAATAATGTACTTTCTAAATGGCAAGAGTTTAGGCCCTGCCTAAAAGTAAAGGATTTAGATAAGTATACACAAATTATTAAAAGCTGCAATCCAGCTGTTCAATAAGTAATAAAAAGACAAATCTACTTTTTAAAAAGTAAGAAACTCATTCAGAGCATGTTGAGATATTGGTAGTGAGTCACTTCTTTGAACCATTAAAATCCATTTGGTACAGTTCACATCATCACCTGCCAACACACTGGAACAGGAAGTCTAAGCTCTGATGTCATCACTGTGCACTCTCAGCGCACTGGAACAGGAAGTTTCTGTGACTGTTGTTCCCAGAGCACTGAAAAAAGGATATCTGATGTCAGTGTCTGTGCACATTACTACCTACCACTTGCTAGCCCATGCTTCACTTCACTTACTACCCTGTTCGCTGCTACACTCAGGGCTTTGCTGTGTCAATGGTTTTGCATGCACTATAAATGTAAGCGCTGTAAATGTGAGCTTTTAAAAAAACATTAATCAAGGCAAATTTGTTAAACTTTCCAATGCAGCAAATCAGATATGGGCGATGTGGTTCTCTGGTGAATCTGGATTGACATGCATGGAAAATTTTCAAAAACAAGCAGCTCACAGTAATGTCGCAGATACTGTGGCTACGTGGTTAGTGAGCGCTAGCCTGTTGCAATTGCAGTGGGAGCAAATACATGCTTGTGTGAGTAGCATTTTGTTTTCAATGAGCTGATAGTGAACATTTGAAATTCTTATTAATCCAGATGGCTGAGATACAGCCTTTTAAAATTAAGATTTTCAAGACTAAGATTTTATGTGATAAGGATATTAGAAGGTAAGAAACAAATGGAAAAAATAAGTCGAGGCACAGATCAGCCAGGATCTAACTGAATGGTTGAACAAACTTGAAAGCACTAATGGCCTATTCTTGATCATGTACTGCCTTTTCTAACATCAAATTGAAATTGCACAAGTTCAATTTCAATTTACATGGTGTAGACCCATTACCAGTACTACAAATATTCATGTGGTGAACAATACATTTGGTGCTTGATAAAGCTTGTTTTCTAAGAGCTCAAAACATAAGTTAACATTTTAGTTTGAATCATAAGATTTGCAATTTCAAATACAGTAAGAAAAACAAATATTTATTACATGATTATATTTGCACATGGAGAAAAATAACAAAATGCAGAAATTTGTTGCACTTGATTAGTGGACTCTACTTTAATGCTAGCTTTGGCCCATTTGATTAAACCTAAACTTATCTTAATTACAGCCAATTTCCCAAGTCATCATTTCTGCTTCGTTCTTCTACCAACTGTGCCCTTTTCCCTTCTCCTCGTATATTCATGATCGTTATAGATGACTACCTTGCAATACACAAAGATCTACACTGGTTGATTCCATCTTACCACGGCCTAAAGAGCAAATGTGACATCCACATTATGAGATGTTGCCGTGCACAATCAGCAAATATGAAGAACAGCAAATTAATCTATTTTTGGTGGTGTTTGAGGAGGGAGAAATGTTGGCTGGGATACCAGGAGAACTCCCTGCTCTTTCAATAGTGCAATGTAATCTTTTATGTCCACCTGAACAGAAAGACAAGAGCTTACAAGTGGAATTTATAATATGATCTTTCATGTGGCAAAACACATGTACTACCACTGGATAGTACAACACATCAACACACAAATAGAGTCTTCCTTTTATTTGTTTTCAGCTGAACCTAAACATGTTATGAACTTAGGCCCATTTAACTCTGACATGAAATAGATTTTTGGGGCAGGGCATGCCAGACAGAGACAGAGACACAGAGACAGAGACAGGGGAGAGAAAATGGTTCCAACTACGAGATGTGAGAAGAAAAAAATACTGTGTTATCCAATGTGCACTGCAATACCAAAAACAAAGCACAGTCCTGGGTTTAGGATCGCAACAAAAATGATCTCTGGCTTGCGTGCATCAAGGATGAGAACAGATTTGATATTTCATGTTGGGATCTGTGAGAGGCATGATACTCCAATCCCCTCAAAGATTATTCACGGCAAAGAAAACAAAAACAAACAACAAATATCTGAGGCATTGGGGATATACAAAACAAGCAATAATCCACATGAATCCAGGTGGTAAGAGTTAGGTTGAAAGCAATGTAAAGGCTCAAGTTGAAAACTATATCAAGAAAAGGATTAAACTGCAGAAGAGGATTTCAGAGTATTGACTGATTTCTTTAAAGTGATACAAGGACTTGTGAGGAAAAGAAAGACGATGACTGTATATAAAACAATATTAATAACAGAATTAGACCATTTCATTAATGGTAATATCAAAGCTCAAGCCAGAGTCCTGGAAACCACAAGGGGTTGGAGAGTAATTTTTGACAGAACTGCTGAATGTGCAATGTCTTTCCCAAATGAGGACAGACTGCTTCACTTACAAAGGGAAAACTGCCCAAGGATGGAAAGTGAGAATGCATGGGGTAACTGTCTTTCTTCAATTCCAATGTACAAAACAGACAATATGGTGAATATTAAAATCCACTTGAGGTGCTATTTAATTTCTTTTACAGCAATTAACCTACATTTGTTTTATCCTTTAATATTTAAAAGAGTTTACCTCTAGCAGCTCATTTTTGTTATTCTGTACTAATGCAGTAACATACACTCTGATCTGCAGTTTAGGCTCCAGATTTACCTTCAGCCTTTGACAGTTTTGTTTCTGTGGCAATGAGGTAATAAACCAAACCAAGATTTGCCCTTAGTGCTGCTGATCAGGAGGTCAACTTTACTGAGCCTGCTGGAAGTTGACAAAAGGAGTCCCATGTCCTTATCACCAGTGTGGAGCCCTGGTCTGAATATGTCTTCCACCAATGAAGTAAATCATTCCCAAACACCTAAAAAGGAAGAAATATACTATATTAACATAAAAATATTAATCCAAGATAATTTAAAATGTTCAAATTCAATAGAAAATATTGAAGCTAGATTCTTTTAGACATGTCAACAACCAGCCAAAAATAATCCTTCCAGAATCAACCTCTCTTCTATGCCCATATACGTAGTTAAGTGAAGCCTACACAATCTGATATACCACAGTATTTGCTCATCAAGACCAAAAAGGATGATTCAATTTAAAAATTGATGAATCCTTGAGCAAGAAAGTACCAATTTTAAAAAAACGCACAGAGTCTGATTCACACCTAAGTATACAAATACATCGTTCAACATCAGAAAATTCTTTCTGGGAACTGCTAATACACAATCTTTTGTGAAACACAAGAGAAAAAGCACGTAACAATTGTAATGCAAGGTGTGAGAGATTTATGTAATTTAACATAATTATTTGCATTTTTGAATTTTGGACCAGCAGTATATGGGTTTTGTGTGCATCTGGAGGAGTTTAATGATCAACTTGCAAGTTGCTCTGCAGCCACAATGATTAAAAAAAAAAATCAAATCAGTATTTGAGATAGATTTCCTCAAGTGTGAAGCGGCTTTAAGTATATTGTGACAGTCTGAAATAAACAGTCATATGCTTTGGGCTTTCAGATAAAAAACAAAATTGCCATTTTTTTGGAGCTTATGGAAAAAAAACCATAGGATAAAAGATAAAACTTTTTAGCTCCAGCTTGGGTAGTTTGCAGATATTTGGCCAAACCTGGAGGTATAAAAATGTGGGTGTTTCTCCTGAGAAAGCAAAGTAATTTAAGACTGTTACAGAAGAGGTTACTTACTGTCAGGAGTTTGGTTTACTAGTAGGTGATGGCCTAGTGGTATTATCACTAGACTATTAATTGAGGGATCCAGGTTTGAATCTCACCATGGCAGATGGTGGAATATGAACACAGTAATAATCTGTAATTAGGAGTCTAACAATGACCATGAAACCATTGAGGATGGTGAGGAAAAAACCATCTACTTCATTCATGCCCTTTTGGGAATGGCATGACATCTGCCACCCTTACCATGTGACTCCAGACCCACAGCTTTGTGGTTGGCTCTTAATTGCTCTCTGGGCAATAAATGCTGGTCTAGCCAGTGACACCTGCATCCCATGAATGAATATATTAAAAAAAGTTCCATGCCACAAGTGTTTGATTAAAACCCTGAACACATTATGTGAAGCTGAGAAAGCCTCAGCTCACTTATGTGACAAAGCATGGAAGAAGTTATTGGATTCTTCTGACCAGGAAATGAGCCATAGCCAAGTCAATCCATTTGAGAGCAAGAGAGGGCGAGAGACTGCAGGGGCGAGAGCGAGAATGTGAATTCTCTCTGTTGGGAGTACAGGAAAAGGAGTGCTTCTCAGATTAATGTAACTGTATCTTACGGTGTGTTTCAAAATCTTTAAATTTTAATCCTCATTTCTTTTGCGTAATAAACTTCTGTCTTGTTGCTCAACTCAACTCTGCAGGATTGAGCGTTTGTGCTTCAGTGAAAGGGCATCTTCTTAAAATCATTATTAAAAGTAACATACATAGCCAGATTTCAGTCTGGGATCTGACTTGCCCTGTCATGACATCAGCTGGGATCATAAGATCTTCAAAATAATGTTTCTGTTGGATTCATGAAAATTTGAATACCAATGTAAAAACATTAATACAATTTTCAAATGTAAAGAATTGAGAAAGAGTACAGGTGTTCATTGTTATAGCCAACAAATAAAAATTAAGTAGATAAAATTCACTAATTAAACTCTTAAGGGCCTGGAACATGTACCAGTCACCCCTTCAAATGAAGTAACTTGTTCCATTTTCATCTTGATGTATTACTTCTTCTAAGTATTATTTCAATACTGAACAACAAAATTTCTTCTGTGATACAATTCAGAATTCTGCACAGTGACACTGGACTCATTACAGTGTTAAATACTAAAACAAGAAAAGGACACATTAAAATGTGCTGAGTTAGATATTTACAGATATCCTTAGTTACAATCCAATTGGATTACGTGTTTTCAGGTAAAATCGTAAACTAGAGATAACATCATTTAAAAACTTTGAACTATTCAACAGTTTAAGTAGTTTAAAATCCACAATTTTTACTGCAATTGTACATTATCCTTTATATATGCATGTTATCCAAAAGGATATAAAGTGTTAGCCATCTCATTATTCTTTGCTCATCTAGAATTTTTCATAATAGCTGCAATGGCACAGCATTTTTCAAAAAGTTCTTCAATATATGTATCTTGACATCAAACTTAAAACTGTTTCATTCTCTCCAACAGAAAGTTGGTAAGTTAATGTGACAGTTTACAAATGAGTTGGAAATTATCATGACACATTCATCCAGGCATCTGTCCTATTAACTGCCCACTTTTTCCAAAGTGAAATAAAGCCAGAAATAATAATAAAATGAGGTGAAAACTCATTTAGAAATCAGGATTGTCAAAGTTACCTCCGAACTAATCACGTCAAATGCTCGTGAAGTTGCACTCAACTGAGCAAAAATTTTGCCTGCAAATTAACAAGCCGTTACTAGCTGATGAACTAATTGTTCCATAGTTCTACACATGTGCTTAAAAGCTGAAGCACAAACTTAGGGATTTATTGCTCATCAGACTATTGATGAAACATAGGAACAGGTATAGATCATTGAGGTTCTGAAGTTTATTCTGCTATTCAAACAGGTTAACCTAGGGCTTAACTCTAACTTTGCCACATATCTCTTAAGGCTTTGATCAGCCAATCTCCATTTTAAAATTAAGAACTTTTCACTGACACTTACACAACAGGGTTTTTAACTTTTACACACACTTGGTGAAGATACAGTCATCTGCACATAGCATGTTTTCATAAATGGAAACATGCAAACTGGTTGGCACTTTCCCCAACAGTAATTACACTTCAAAATTACATTATTGGCTCTAAATTAATATCCCTTGGTATGAAAGATCTCACATAAAACAGTCTTGTTTAAAAAAAAACTCCACTGTTTTAGACTCCTCAACAAGCAGAATGTGTTTCTCTGAATTTGGCTTTTCTGTTTCTGTTACTTAGAATTAATGACAGTTGTCTTTTCCCCAGGATGGATATTTCAAAACTAGGGGGCACATTTTCAAGGTGAAAGGGGAGAGATTTTAAAAAAAAGACATGAGGGGCAAACTTTTTAGTTAATACAGAGGGTGGTTTGCGAGTGGAATGAATGTCCTGAGGAAGTGATGAACGTGGGTACAATTACAATGTTTAAAAGATAATTGGATAAACACATGAAAAGGAAAGGGTTTGGATGGATATGGGCCAGGAGCAGACAGGTGGGATGAGATTAGTTTGGGATCACGTTCAGCTTGGACCCAAGGGTCTGTTTCCGTGCTGTATGATTAAGTTGAAAACATCCATCACGTCACCTTCGTTATGTTCTAAATTTTAGAAAACACAACCCAAATTTTATAATCTCTCCTCTTGGCTTAACCACTGGAGGCCAGATGTTATTCTAGTAAATTTGCACGGTGTTGGTCTCCGCATGTAATACTAAATGTTTTACAGAAAAGTAGCTCACTTTTCCTGTATTATTATAGTTACTTCTTGCAACTGCATTTAATTCTTGTAAATAATTGTACATATTGAAGCATCTGGATGAGTACTTAAAATGCCAGGGTGTAGTAGGCTTTGCACCAAGTGCAGGTAAATGGGATTAGTATAGTTTGGTGTTTATTGGTTGGCATAGACTTGCTGGGCTGAAGGGCCTGTCTCCATGCTGTGTGACTCGCTGACACACTCCCTTGCTCGCTCTCTCGGATTCAAATATATCCACTCTGAGCTGAGATGTTCAGAAATGTTCAGTCACAAAACACAGAATCTGTAAAGCTATAATAAAAATCTTAAACACCAAATTTGGTTTTTATTAAATAAAAACTGAAAGAATTATCAGTAACGGTAGCTCAGTGGTTAGCACTGCTGCCTCACAGCGCCAGGGACCCGGGTTCCTGTCTGTGTGGAGTTTGCACATTCTCCCCATGCCTGCGTGGGTTTCCTCCGGGTGCTCTGGTTTCCTTCCACAGTCCAGAGATGTGCAGGGTAGGTGGATTGGCCACGTTAAATTGCCCATAGTGTCCAGGGATGTTTAGGTTAGGTGGGTTAGACATGGGGAATGGGTCTGGGTGGGATGCTCTTCAAAGGGGTGATGTGGACTTGTTGGGCCGAATGGCCTGGTTCCACACTGTAGGGATTCTATGATTACTGAACTGTGGATGCTGTAAATCAGGAACAAAAACAAAAGTTGCTGGAAAAGCTCAGCAGGTCTGGCAGCATCTGTGAAGAAAAAAATCAGAGTTAACATTTTGGGTACAGTGACCCTGGCTCAGAAAGTTTTTAATCAATTTACTGATACATGTCAGAATCCCACTACCTTGAATTTATTTTCTGAGCCTGACATTTTAATGATTTATGTACCTGGACACCTGAGTCTATTTTGAAACTCAGTGCTTAATTTCTGCCTCCATATTTAATAAGCAACAGTGGCTCGGGACAGCTTTTAGGGACTTGCCACACTTTAAAATCGTCAAGATTATAACTCATACCTTCTGTCATCTTTCAATTCAAAATCCTTATAAACCAAAAGGTCCAATGATTTCTTCAATGTTAATTGTCTTTATTCTTACATTCTGACTGGTTAATACTTGATTCACATGTTTTTATAGGATGTTCCTATTCATGTGTCAATGAGCAACTCCAGAATATTAGGAATCTGCTTTGGAGCTGCATGCAATTGAAGGTTGTGTTCACAAGGTGATATGATGGAGTACTTAATTTTTACAGCTGATAACTGAAGTTCTATTGAAGTTGGTATAAAAAAAAATACGATTTTTCTTCATTTTGACTGCATTCACCTCAATTTACACTTCAACTGCACGATTGTAGCCATTTTTCTCCCGCAATTTAATATTTCTCTCAATGTTGTTGATCTTGGATTATTAGTGCTAGAAGAGGAGGCATAAGATGAAGGAGGAACCTGTCCTCTGCAGGTAAAGGAAATGCATCTTGAAGAAGTTAGAAAACAACATAAATGTTCAAGGGAAAAAACAAAACCAATTTGAAATGAAATTAAAGAAGTTCACAAAAACAAAAAGAAAACAAATTCATCCTGACAGCTTTCAATAGGTACTGGGCAATTCCAAACAGAAACCACTGGTTTGCATATTGCACTTGTACCAATGAGTGCAATTTTGAAACAACCAAAAGTAGTAACAATACTGAATTCAGAAGAAAGATGGCAGGAATGAGGAAAAAAGGATAAAACGGGATAGCTTTCCATCATCACAATAGAGCATGTTATAAATACATGGCCAACTGATGATTTTACTGCATCAATATCAAGTTCTCATGATCAAGAGGTAAAATATTTTGATTGCCCATGTTTAAACCAATAAACCTGAAATTGAGATAAGGACTAATGTGATATACTACATGTTATAAAATAGTCAATTACCAATAAACGCTATTCCCTTAATATACCAGAGGTTCTGCAACAGACAGTAATCAATTGATGGCTTGGTTTCCATCAACTTTACTATAACCTTCTCCATTTCCTCCCACCACTCGTATCGAAACCATTAAATTTGTGCAAAGTTGTGTCAGAATTTTCGGGTCATTCTTCAAAAAAAAATTGAATCAAGAGTTATTATTCCTAACTATTTCCTCCGAAACATTTCCGACTGTATTGCAAAATACACATACAGAATGAAACACTCAAAATGTCATGAAGAAATGATGCTGGTTGATGATAAACTGCACAAATTTAAACAAACTGCTGGGGTATCTGCATGTGTGGAAAGAAAGCAAAGTTAATGTTTCAAGTTCAATGACTCAGCAGAACTGATAGCAGCTAGACAATGTAGACGAGGAGAATACTGAGATACAGTCTATTAGACTAGACGGGATTGAGGTTCATAAGGAGGAGGTGTTAGCGATTCTGGAAGGTGTGAAAATAGATAAGTCCCCTGGGCCGGATGGGATTTATCCTAGGATTCTCTGGGAAGCTAGGAAGGAGATTGCAGAGCCTTTGGCTTTGATCTTTATGTCGTCATTGTCTACAGGAATAGTGCCAGAAGACTGGAGGATAGCAAATGTTGTCCCCTTGTTCAAGAAGGGGAGTAGAGACAACCCTGGTAATGATAGACCAGTGAGCCTTACTTCGGTTATGGGTAAAGTGTTGGAAAGGGTTATAAGAGATAGATTTACAATCATCTAGAAAGGAATAATTTGATTAGGGATAGTCAACACGGTTTTGTGAAGGGTAGGTCGTGCCTCACAAACCTTATTGAGTTCTTTGAGAAGGTGACCAAACAGGTGGATGAGGGTAAAGCGGTTGGATGTGGTGTATATGGATTTCAGTAAAGCGTTTCATAAGGTTCCCCATGGTAG